AGGAAGTCCCCACCCTCAAGGAGCTCAAAGGCAGGAATTCATTCAACAGAATCACAATTAATGACTCCCCTTTATCACTCCAGCAACCTAAGGATTCTCATTCCTTCTACCCAGGGAAGATCTTTCAGAAATCAATAGGCTCTCTCCATCCGGGGAAAACGAAAATGGAGATCCTAGCTACAAATGGTTGTAGGTCACCCACCTGCTGAGGGGAGCCTGGACCCAGCCCTCACCTGCTTGGTTTGGCTCCTGCCTCTTCGTTGCGTTCAAAGGCTGGAAATCTTCTCTTCAGAGAGAGAGTTATTTAAAGAGTTATTTAAAAATGAGTGAAGAAGTTTTTACTACTCCTCACCCCATACGCTGATAAATTTCACAATCCTTTCCTTTTAGTCTTGGATTTTTAACAGGTTCCACGTGAACCCAGACACTGATTACACCTGTTTAATTAACAATACAGTGATTTTAATAGGGTAGCGTGGTCTAGAGAAGAATGTTACATTATGCATTTGACATTTCATTTAAAATTTTCCCTTACAACTAAAAGGTTTCATTGTAACAGAAATTTCAAATGTGCTTTATTAAACCTGATTGCTGACTAATTAGAGCCTAAGTGATTCTAAGGAAACTGCACAAGTGATGTTCGACCAGGGGCGATTTCTCTGGACACACTGACACATTATTTTCTCTTCTTTAAAGAATTTTAATTTCCAGTAAAAATAATTGCACGTAGACATTATTTTCCATCTGTTTTCTGTGAGATCGTGGAGGACATGAGAGGGTTATGTATGTAGGTAAGAATTAGCTTCATTAAGGAACAGTTACCAATTTCTGAGACTCAGATGACTCTGTTAAAAATATTCAAGATAGGTTTACTTTGAGACAAAACTATAGATTGTCAGTATTCAGGACCCAGAACTAATTTTTCAAGAAAGTACATCTTACACCCATTATTGTTATTTTAGCCCAGCTGTGTCATTTATCGTAATCTGCTGTTGGCTTTTTGTCCTACCCATAATGGTTCACAGGGCCTTCCAGTGAGGCCGTCAGGTGAGCAACTGGAATGTGTCCTAGCTGCAAACCAAAGACGACTTTCAGTACCACAAGCCACACGACTGCCTCCCACTATGTGGGAGTCACCTATGAGCCTGTCACTTTACACTGCCTCATATCCACCATCCAGAGTCTCAGGCATATACGGACAGGAATGGCTCATAAAACCCACTTATTTAGATACATTGAGGTATCACTGCTGTTAGAGGTCTGCTTATAAAGATTCTTTGTCATACTTTATTATAAACTCTTTTTTCCCGGGTACAACCCTTGGTTTATTGTTCCAAACAGACATCTTCCCTGGGAAGGCATCCCAGTGATTATTATTGTTAAATAGTCATCTGAACTTTGGGAAGACATTTCCCTCCCGACAGACTCAGGCACACAGAAAGAGCGCCTGCCGGGGAGCCTCGACACTGCGTCCTGCGCTTCATCACAATCTGTTGGTGATCCATGGGGAAACTGCTCCCAGGCCCTTTTCAACTGTGGTGGTGTTTCCAAAACCACCCTTCCTGCAGCAATCATACTGGAATTCACCCATGTCCTTCTATTTAGATTTCAGTGCTTCCTCCCACTCAACAGCTGACGTGGAGTTCTTGGGAATTGTTGGAAATATCGATTGCATTTTACTTCGAAAGTCTTTCATCTAGAAGAAGGAAAAAAAAATGGTCATCAAATGTCAGAAGAAGGGAGAAACACCCGAAACTATCAGAGACAGCACCTTTGCTGACTGGAAAACACCTCACTGTCACAGGCACAGAGCAAAAGGGATGACCAATAACCACCGAGGCCTGTATTCCAGCTGCCTCGACAGAACAAAGCACACACCTCTTTCTTCTTCCAAGTATGAATCCATTAACTAAATAACACAAAATTTCATTCTTAGTCTGGAAGGCAACACTGTCCAGCCTCTAGGATATGAATCTGCTATCAGAGGAATGGTGTGGCTCGCTGGCTTTCATACATACAGATGTAGCAAAGAGTGCCATTTCTGTCAGCCCAAATAAATGAGCATACTTAGGTCATTCAAAGTGAGAATTTCAGGGCCAGAGGGAAAGAATGGAGACAAGAAACTTAGTAGGAGTTTACTAAAACAAATGAATCAATGAATGGCAGATAAATTAGAATGTTCTTGTGGGCCAGGCAGTGTGGAAAAGCCCGGGTAGGGTTTTACCAGCAGAAGTTGATTTGGAATCCAAGAGTCAGGGTAGGGGCTGGGAGATCTTATGTAGTGCTGATAGGATTCCTGCAGTTCACCTGGGGGCCTGGTCCACCCAAGGCCTACACCCCAGCTCAGAGGGGAGTGCTGGCTCCTGGAGCTGGAGTCTTACACACTCTGATGGATGCTTATCCTCTCTCTGAGTCTGCTACGAAGATGCCATTTTGGCAGCACCACAGCCTCACCGTTTCTCCTCATCTGGATTGTGAAGGACCCTGGACTCATCAGCAACATGTAGACATTCTTAGAGTGTCACCCATGGTTATCTGAGAGTTAGTTAATATATTTTTTCATGTTGATACTTATTTTTTTCAAATTCAGGCTAAATCTTTACCTTGTTTCCAAATTCAGAGGTGATATCAGAGTCTCCGTTCAAACTCTAGTTCCGCCACCTGGAAAAGCTGCCTACTCTCTCCAGCCATAGTTTCCACTATGCAGAATGGAGATAATAACTATCTGCCTTCAGTTGTGAGGATTGCGTAGATGCACATAAAGCACACCTACTGTATGTTAGGTGCACACACATTATAAAAATGTGTTCTAAGAACAAAGCTCACATGGATATAATTATAGTGGTTTATTTGTTAAAAGCATTACTTTACAGTTATATATAATTTTGGTTGAACTATTCTGAGACTGAAGATACTTAAGGATATATCCACTATATAGTCTTAGGTGACCCATGCCAAGCATCTCCAAGCTCTAGACCCAGATTCCAATCTTGAAGATACACACATTATGGGACATGCCTCTTTCTCCCACCCCTTTTTTTCACTCTCCATGCTGAGAAGAGTTTTTGCACTATGATGATCCCTTTATGAGAGTTTCTTCACTAGGGACAGTACTTCATCCCTGGAAGGACCTGGAATATGGGGGAGGTGTGTCTATTTCTGGTTGTCACAATCTTGGTGGACTATTATTTGTATTTGGTGGGAGTTTTTGGTAGTTTTTTACTCTGAAAATCCTTATTGATGGTACACAGAAAGAACTGACTTCTCCAAAGCACCAACCATACCCCCATTGAGGAACTTTGCACAGACTTTCATAGTTGAGAAACAGGCACTTCTCGGACAGGGTTTACAATGTGTTACCTGGTTCTTTCCGGGTGAACATGTTAAAACTTAGCTTAATGACACAGTTTTCAAAAGGGATGTGAGATGGCCAAGGCACAAGCAACATCATTTACCGTTCTCCCTTCTCAGTGACATAGAATAGTAAGCTGCCAGGAAGCAGTGGGTGGGAAGCAAAGGAGGCCAGGGTAGGAGAGTGAAGGGCAGCTGCTCAACTTCAGCAGGATAGTGCTCCCATTCCCATTCCTGGCCTGATTTTCTTCTTTCCTCTCATTTCCCCCATACTGTATTATTTACTTGTTCCCAGGGTCATAGGTAAGTAACTGAACCAGTAGGAGGAATCATCTGGAAAACAGCCAACCAGGAACATAAGGGCTTCAGAACAGGAGAAAGAACTGAGGAGAGTGGGGGAAACACCACTTAGCCCTAGTCTCGAATGCTCAAGCTGTGGATATGGAAACCCAGCATCTACATTTAAGTTATAAACAGGTCTCAAGTTGCTTTAGACAATGGAGCTCTGCATACTTAAAATCTTCAGATTTTTTTCACTAGAGATAGCACTTCATCCCTGGAAGGAACTGGAACTATAGGGGGGTGTCTATTTCTGGTTGCCACAATCTTGGTGGACTACTATTTGTATTTTGTGGGAGTTTTTGGTATAGTTTTTTATTCTGAAAATCTTTATTGATGGTACACAGAAAGAACTGACTTCTCCAAAGCAAAACAACAACAACAACTTCAGATTTTAAGTATATGTAGTTTAACCATGTGACTAGAGTATATGAGAAAAAAAAAAATGTGTGTCACTTCCAGGCTCAGTATTAACCATAGGAGGTGACTTCCTAGGCCTCTCCTGCATTCCCATCGTAATACTGGAAATCTGTCACCAAGGTGGTGCCTTAAATGTCTACATTTAAGTTATAAACAGGGTCTCTAGTTGCTTTAGAGCTCCATATACTTAAGATCTTCAGATTATACCTCAGTTTAATTAATTTCTGAAAATCCTTACACATCAATTCTAATAAATGGGCAGTTATTGGAATTTAAAACTCTTTTGAGTTGTATTTGCCACTAACAAGTTCACTTAGTTTCTATCTTCTCACTTGCTGATGTAGGACTATTGCCAGGATCATTATAGGATCTACTGATATGAAGGCACAACCTTTAGATATGTCAGTGATTACAGCGTCAATGATAACTTTTAAGAATATGATAATTCAGTTTCTTCCTAAAACAGAACAGAGTAAGACCATATAATACTAATATATCAGGAGATAAAAATTATCGTTAGGTTGTAAAAGTGTGACTTGAACAGGAATAATGTATCATTTGGGATATCCTATGTATCAGGCACTGGACAAAGCACCATTATTTAATCTTCACAGTTCTATATAGCTTAAATTATGACCCTCCGCTTTATTATGAAAAACCAATTTGTTCCCATGATGTAGGCTCCCTGTTTACCTCTCTTATTGTTTCTCTTGCTGAGAAAAAACTTTTTAGTTTAAGTAAGTCCCATTTGTTGATTCTTGTTATTAACTCTTGTGCTATGGGTGTCCTATTAAGGAATTTGGAGCCCGACCCCACAAAATATAGATCGGAGCCAACCTTTTCTTCTATCAGACGCATAGTCTCTGATTTGATATCAAGGTCCTTGATCCATTTTGAGTTGACTTTTGTGCATGGCGAGAGGAGGGGATTCAGTTTCATTTTGTTGCATATGGATTTCCAGTTTTCCCTGCACCATTTGTTGAAGATGCTATCCTTCCTCCATTGCATGCTTTTAGCCCCTTTATCGAATATAAGATAGTTGTAATTTTGTGGATTGGTTTCTATGTCCTCTATTCTATACCATTGGTCCACCTGCCTGTTTTGGTACCAGTACCATGCTGTTTTTGTTACTATTGCTTTGTAGTACAGTTAAAAAAAAAAAAAAAGGAAAAAAAAAAAAAAAGAAAAACCAGAGGTAAGAGAGATGATGTGGCTCCTAAGGATACTTGCCTGGCTGACTGATGTCTAGGAATCTCCCTTCAGTCACTCTGTTTCTATGATTCAGAAACACAAAGTGTCTCTAAAACTTTCACCCATGTGCCACCTTTCACTGAAAACATTTTTAAAAACATAATATATACCTCTTATAATAGTGGATATTTTCTTTTGGATGTATGACAGATGTAGCACTAATTTTCACCAAGAACCAGTATACATCTACTTCTGGAGATAAGGGATCATACTCCCACTTCTTAAAGTTCGATAACCATGTAACTAGTGTACATAAGAAAAAGAAATGTGTGTCACTTCCTGGCTGAGTATTAACCACAGGAGTTGACTTTCTAGGCCTCTCCTGCCTTCTCATCGCACGCAGTACTGGAAATCTGTGTCACCCAGGTGGTTCTTCAAGATAAAAGTAACCTGAGGTGCTAAGCCAGAACTTGAAGAAGAGCTTTCCAAGAGAGTCACTTGAACCCACTGTGGCTTCTACATGAGTGAGAAATAAATCTCTGTATTTTAAGGGAGATTGTGTTTCATTGTGGCATAACTCAGCCTATTCTGGCTGACATAAGGCATACTCTGATACCCTAAAGTCATACATTATGACTGTAACACAGTTGAATGAAAGCTTATCACATAAGAGGGAACAGGGACTCTGCAAATGAGCCCTACAAATCTCTTATAACCACTTGGGTCAAACAAACCACCAGTTTTCCCATGTCCAGGGAACTCAGCACATCAGTTAATCCCTTTATATGAAACCGTTTCCTGGGGGAATTAGAACATTTCTAGATGTTCTCAGTGAAATTGTATATGGGAGATCCATCCGATCAGCATACACAGGGCCATTTTTTTTTTTTTAATGAGGGATTGCTGTCCTAAATCTGTTTGATAAAATTCAACTAAGCAGCCAGCACTGGCTTGGCTTAGAGAGCAGATGCTGATTGCAACAATGATTTGAAGATGACATGTATTAGAACATAATCATGTTGTTCATTTAGATATTCAATGGTGTTAGGAAAGCTAATGTGAATTTTTAAATCTCAGCTTTCCATTTTCTAAGTTATTAATATTGTCCTTTAAGTAAAGGATAGATACACCATCTTTACTTTTTCCTAAACTCTTAGTATATCATATCCATAATGTCTAGAATATGAACTGAAATGAATGTTTTCTGAGAAAAGCAATTCTCACTAAGATGGCCAAGTCTTATGAAGCAATTAAAAACAGGGCACAACTGAAAAGCAAAAGCTGTTCACATGAAATAAACCAAGCAACAGGGATGACTCTCGGAGCCAGGGCCCACAGTACTAAGACCTAGCCCAGCTAGAACAATTTATAATAGCATCTTGATTTAACAAGACAGCAGATGGGGTTCTCACAGGCATGCCTGAAACGCTTTCACTAAATCAGGTTTTACTTTTGGTAACTGCACAATTCAAGGGTTTCTTTTTTTTGCCAAATCAATGACAGTAGCTGTACCACCTGTGACTGTCAGGCCTCTTTCTAAAGATATTCTACTCTACTGCATTGAACTTTTTTTTTTTTAAAGATATTTATTTTTTAGTTGTAGATGGACACAATATCTTTATTTTTTTATTTTTATGTGGTGCTGAGGATTGAACGCAGGGCCTCACACGTGCTAGGCAAGTGCTCTACCACTGAGCCACAACCTCAGCCCCCTTGCATTGAACGTTTGGTAACAGCTACATCTGATCACCATTATTTTCATATCTTAATGTTCTTGCTTCACAGGCATGCATGCACACGTGTGCTGTACACACACACACACAGAGTTCCCATTTCATGATGTTTGTGTTTAATAGTCCAGCTGATTGGCTGTCCCAGCAAAAAGAGGGAAGCCTCAAGATGGATTCATTACAAAAAAGTACCATGTGTGTACACAACTTTATTTATACATTAGAGGAAGTTACAACTTTTAAAAAGAGTATATAAGTGAACATATTTATCAATGAGCCAGAATGAATTAGTATGTATTTAACAAAAAGAATGGAATTTCTATAACACAATAAACACCAATATCTTTGTTTTGTATCCAAAACCACACAGACTTGTTTTTGGACTAGATAGCAACGACACTGATGTTCAAGGAAAGTACTGATACATAAGAGACATCAAAACCCCCTTTTGTGTTGCAGTCAAGAATTGTAAAAAGTACCATATAACATCTGGATACTAAATAATAAAAACCAAACAAACAAAACCTGGAGGGCTAAATAAAGAGGGGAACCTCTTCATCAATTTTTAGGAATTCAAGTTATTCTAAACCTTGGCATACACAATCCTATATCTATATTTTGTCTTCAGTAACTTCAGAATGGTGTCTCCAAACAACTTCAAAGCTTGAGCTCCTTCTGAATTCCCCAAAGGGTTTTTGCACTCTTTTTGAAGCGGGCCTCCTCTTCAGGGGTCATCTTTATCTTTATAATGTCTGTTATACCATTTTCTCCTAGGACACAAGGAACACTGAGGAATACTTCTTCATTTATTCCATAAAGACCCTTAATTATGGTGGAAACTGGATGCACTCTCCTGAGATTCTTCAAGATACTTTCTGTTAAATCAGCTACAGATAGGCCAATGGCCCATGAAGTATAACCTTTCATTTTAATAATCTCATAGGCACTGTTAACCACTTCTTTGTGGACATTTTCCCACTGCTCAGGGTCCTTACCAGTACCTATAGCTGCGTTCAGATCTTTTAGAAGGACGCCAGCGATGTTCACTCCACTCCACACGGGAACACTCGAGTCTCCATGTTCTCCAAGGACCCACCCGTGACAGCTTTCGGAGTGGATACCAAGCTTTTGTCCAATCAAAAACCGGAAACGAGCAGTATCCAGATTACAGCCACTTCCGATAACGCGGCTTTTGGGAAACGCACTCAACTTCCAGGCTACGTACGTCAAGATATCCACTGGGTTGGAAACCACGATCAGTTTGCAGCGGGGGCTGTACTGGACGACACTGGCAATCATCAATCTAAAGATGGCCACATTCCGCTGGACTAAGTCCAGGCGGGTTTCTCCCTTCTCCTGGCGCGCCCCTGCCGTGATAATCACCAGGCTGGAGTCGGCGGTGACCAGGTAGTCTCTGCTGCACACGATGCTGGGCAGCTTCGCGAAGGCGCTGCCTTGCTGAAGGTCCAGGGTCTCGCCCTTCAGCCTGGCTTCGTTAACATCCACGAGGGCGAGCTCGTCGCTCAGGCCTTTCAGCAAGATGCTTAAGGCGCAGGCCACGCCCACCGACCCGCTCCCTATAATGGACACCTTGGTGTGGTGGACGCGCTCCTCGGGAGCCAAATTCTTGAAGAGCTCCCCCTTCACGGTCGCCATCTCCGACACGGGCGTGAGCAGCCGGCCGCCGCCCAGCGGGACCTGCGCGGCCCGAGGGGGCCTGCGTGCCCTCCCGGGGCCCAGGAGCTTCGCGCTGGCTCTCTGTTTGGACCGCAGCACGGCGGCAGCCCAGCTCATGGCTGCGCACTCAGGAGGAAGAGAGGGAGGAAAGCCACCGCAGAGGCACAGTCCGTTGAGGGCCAGAGGAACCCGGCTAGGACGAGGTAAGGCCTCTGCGCAGGCCCCGCCCGCCCACGTGGCCCCGCAGGCCACGCCCCCACCCCATGAGGCCTCGCCAAGTGCTCAGGCTCCGCGCAGACCAAGGCTTGCGGATGGGCTTCCTGTCCAGCTAGGGCATCCTGCAGTTGGTTTTATACACATACTCTAACGTTTGGCAGGTGAACCCAGAGTCCTGGAGTCATCGATTTTCTACTCTGAGTAGGCAAGTAGTAAGATGCGTCAATCAAGTACAGGTGAATATGTTAAATTGCAGGCCACAAAGGTGCTATGCATTGTCTCCCAATAGCATTGGAAGAGAAATGGGCTCCTGTTTCCCAGTGTATTTAGCTGAAGGACCTTTTATTTAGGAAGGACTGACCATGACCATGACCATGATTCACACCCATGGAAGTTGACAGGTGCTCGACAACAGGGCAAGGGGCTGCCCATGTATTACTTCAATAGTCAAAACTCACCAGGAGAGGATACCCATTCCTTCTTATACCAAAGGAAGGCCTGTGATTGAGTCCTAGTAAAAACAACTTCTTAAGAAGTCACAAAAAAGGAACTTATCTTTAGAATGTTCTTAAAATCACAAATTTTAAGCAATGCACAAATCAGACTGATGACTAAAATGATGAAAATTATTTAGTATACAACACTGTATCAGTATATCTTACTTCCTCTGCTTTTTTTCTAGGCAGTCTTCTTAACTAATTTCCTTACAAATTGCTGAGGAGATGTACATTTTACATATGATGAAATGCACACTCTGATAAACTCAATAAACATCAAAAGCCTCAATTACAATATGATTCTTTCTCCCCACTTATAAATGATTTGAACCCAGTAAGGACTGCTCAAAGCACCCCTCTTGTTCTAAGACAGGATTTACTCTCCCAGAATGGGCTTCTTGGTACATATAGCCCTTTCATAATCCACAAGATTACAGTTTTGGGATAACAAATCCTGACAAAATGAATAATTTATATTCAGGACATGAAAAGCTGTTCTCATTCTTCCTGCCACTGAAGAGAGGAACAATATGCAAAGGAGTCGGATGAGGGGTGGGGAAAATTGGCAATCATTGTAGTTCCACAACCTTGTTTCAATGTGACTCATTGGCTGTGATGATGCACTGTCTAAGCCATAGGGACCCCAACACTCTGTTTAGATGGTACAGAGCCACAAGCTCTGTGACACACAAAAGCACAAAAGCATCAGAACATGAATTCTCTCCACTCAGGCAGTCAGATTTATGGTATACCATTTGTCAAATTTAAAACCTGAATTTTAAAAATAATCATCTTTATTGAATGGTAGCCAATATTTTAGAGGGATCCTTTAAAAGAAACAAAAAGATTTTGATAGCTATCATTTCTTTTATCCTAGTCCTCACTGGAAATGTTTTAACCTGATGAGTGCTTCCACCTTCTTCCTAAATGATTCCTTTGACCAGACAAGTCATTTTCCAGGATAAGTGCTCTTGAGCATGAAATTCAAGGACATAAAGACCATCTAAAGTGGATGGCTTCCTTCTATGTAATTTTCTTCCTAGAGTTTGAATTTCTTCAGCAATATAGTATCTGAGACCAGTGTCTTCAGTCTTTCCCCCTAGCCATAACTAAATCATTATAGGGGTGGGTTGGGATGGGTAAACCTTTCCAAAATAAAAATACATCAAACAAAGCCACTTTTTATTTACAATAAGTCTCAAGATAAGATGGGAAGTACTAAGAAAGATGAAGAGACGTAAGTGACCTCCAGAGCAGATGTAGGTCTACTCAAAGTTGTGGTAAGCCAAATATAGCCAGACAGCTCCCTAATGGTTTCTATCTTAGGTGGCTCATTATTCTTTTTGAATTGAAAACCTAGCTCAAATTATCTATTCAAAATGCAGTGTGATATTATAGCTGATGGCAGGATTACACTTTAATGCTTTTGTTTATACCACTCAGGAGGGAGGTGGAAGGAAATTCAGACCACTGCATGTCTCTGGAATGGCTGCAACTCAGTCACTCTGTCCTTCCACCTGGCCTCTCCCAGCCCACTCCCACTCTCCTTTTTCTGTCCAGGAGCCCAGTTCCCACAGCCCATCCTTTCACAGATCTTGCCAATCCTTCAAGCAGAATGGATTTTTAAAAAATCCTATGTCACCACTTTGTACCTATCTCTATTACAGGATTTATCATAATTAAATGTGAAATACTTATTGAATATATCACTTCTAAAGGGATCAACCTTATTTATTAACGTATCCTTATCCTCTAGATCAGAGATGGACACATGAATAAGGATTTGGGAAATGCTTATGATAGAAAAGGATGAGTAAATCAATGCAGATCTGAATTTGTAAGGCTAGAAAGAAGAGTAAGAAATGAAAATCTGGGCTAGAGAATCTACCTGGTGCTACAACAGAGATAGTAAAATGAGTGATGCCCCTTTAGGTTATTTTATTTATTTATTTATTGTTTATTTATTTATTTGATACTGGGCATTAAACCCAGGGGTGCACTTGGCCACTGAGCCACACATATTTATCCATTTTTACATTCTATTTTGAGTCAGGGTCTCACTAAGTTGCTCAGGGCCTCTCTAAATTACTGAGACTGGCTTTGAACTTGCTATCCTCCTGCCTCAGCCTCCCAGGCCACAGGTGTCTGCAACTGTGCCCAGCTCCCTTTGGGGTTTCTTAGCAAGGCTAATGCATAAATTTCAAATAAAACTGTGAATAAGTTAAAAAAAATTCTTACCTATTTTCATAGCCAAGCATTTTTCAAACCTTAACCAAGTTAAACAACAACAAAATCTATACTACTAGAAATACAGTGAAACAAGTATACAAATGGAAGAGAAAATATTTTTAAACATTAGAATTATTTAAAATGTTGTTTTTGGGAACCATTAAGAAAATAATCAGCCTAAGCAACTTAGTAAGACTTTGTTTCTAAATAAAATATAAAAAGGACTGGGATGTGGCTCAGTGGTTAAACACCCCTGGATTCAATCACTGGTAGCCCCCCAAAAAATCAGCATAAGAATTCCTTGATTTGGGGGGGGGAAGGATCCAAATGAGTAAAAATTAGTGTTAATTAACATTATAATCTGATCTGAAACAGACTATAAACTCACAAGGAAGGAGAGCATTACATAAACAAAATTATTTTAAAAGCTTTCTTTGTAATTTTAAAGTTATAAAATTATATTTTAGAATTAAAGAAGCCTCCAAGTCTCCAAGGAGCACCATGCCAGCAGCACCATCCCAGTTCTGACAAGCAAAAGTGCCTCCAGATACTGCCACATATCTTCTACATATATTCTGGGGCTGGGTGGGGGGACATTTTTGCCTCCAGTTGAGAACCAATAAGTTAAAGAATAAGAAGGGGCCAGATCACAGAGGGGTGCATAAACCATTAAAGGAACTGGACTTCATTCTCAAGGCAAAGGGAGCCTTTGAGATAGCAGAAGCCATGTAATCAGATTTCATTCAACAAATATTTAAAAAACACCTACTAATGGAAGGCACTATGACAGGTGCCAATGATACAATGAGCAAGATAAAGAAGAGCTGTTTTCAGAATTTACATTTTTACAAAGACTGATAAAACAAGAAAATAGGCCAAATAATTTTATTTTGCAATTGGTGCTGTGAAGAAAACAGGATAATGAGTAATTTTAGACCATATGGTCTGAGGATACTTCTCCGAGGAGGTGAAATAAATCTGGGTGGAAGTTCTGAATGGCAATAGAGCTGGCTATACAGAGAGTCAGGCCATAAATTTCCTGGGTAAAGCTAGAATAAAGGTCCTAGGCAGGAGTAAACCTGGTGTATTGGAGGAACAAGGGGACTGGCAGGGCCCAAGTGTAACAGGAGGGGTGTGCAACTGGGGTAGCTCAGGACAAGGTCAGGGAAGGAGGTGGGGCTTTACCATGCAAACCTTCTTCCACAGGAAGCTAGTGAAGAGTTTTAAGTGAAATAGTGTTATAACTTAACTTACATTTAAAAAATATCTCCAGCTGCTGTGTGGAGAAAAAAAAATGCAGGGGAAATGAAGGTGAGGTCAGGAGACCAAAAGGATGCTCAATACACAAGGTAAGAGAAGAATGGAGGTGGAGAGAGATGGAGGAGGCGGGCTATGAGTGACAACAAACAGGTCTTGCCCATGGATTAGAAGGGATGAAGGGAAATGAGAGAATCTGAAACAATTCTCACCTGGGCTTTTGGTTTGAACTAGGGGGACGGGTGATGGTGGTCCCTCCTGAAATGGGGGAGACTAGGTGAGGAATACATTGGGAGGAGGTGAGGAAATCAAGAACTCTGGGTGGGACGTGGGTCATTAGACATGCCTGTGAGACACAGTGAAAATGGAAAGTGCAGCCGAGAGGCAAGTCAGAAGGGCTATATATCTGGATACCACTCGAATGGACAGATTGGTTTAAAATGCCAGGAGCTGGATGACAGAGCCGAGGGTCTGTGCACAGATGAAGAATGAAGAGTCTCTGTATGGAGTCAATGGACTAATGTCAAAAGTATCAGAGGAGGAGCTGGCAAAGACCAGTGAGGTCCAAGGTGTCTCAGAAACCACAAGACCTACAAGACATTGCTTCCTGAGAGGTTGCTCAATGGGTCAAATGCGGCCAGAAGGTCAAGGAACGGAGGTAAGATCTGGATCTAGCAAGGAGAGCACTGGCAACCTGGACAATAGCACTGCAGTCCCAAGGAAAGAAGCTGGCAGATAGAAAGGGGGAGAAGTGGAAATGACCACCACATACAATCCTTTCAGGAAATATTTTCTGTGAAAGGAGCAGACCAATGGGAGAGAACAGCACATCTGTACATGCTGCAGCAACAGGGAGAATGTAACCATCAGTAAAGCCTGAGGAACAGAAGAGCAGCAAGGTCTCTGGGTAGATGACCAGGATTGGGACCTGCCCAAGTGGCAAGGGTGGGCTTTTGGTAGCAGCATGGACATTTTGTCCCTGGTAACAAGTAGAGTGTATGGTACAGCTGCAGGGAGAGGTCTGGGGAAGGTGAAGGCCAGAGTGCCTGGCAGTAAGATGCAGCAAGGATTGCAGTGAAGAAAGGTGGGAGGCAGAGAGAGCAGAGAGGCCGTTTTGATCATCTTGAGACAAGAAGTGTCCCCAGCCATTGTGGCTATGCAGGAGAGAGGCATTTCGTGACTGACGAGACAGGGTGAGAAAGAGTATGGTCATGAATGGTGATCTAGCTTGTCCCCTGGGGCAGCTTAGTGGACAGTGCTGCCATTCACTGGGAGAGTGGTCCAGGAGTAGGCTGCAGGGTGGGGTAAGTGACCATTCCGTGGGCAACATGCATTATGCCTGCAGGATGTCCAAGCATCAGAGTTAAGGGGCCAATGAGCCTGAGTCAGGGTGGGGATAAAGTCACTGAGAGGCAGGAACCTGTGGAGGACAGAAGATGAAGACAAAGAGGGGCCCATAAGCATAACTGTGTCCAGTAAAGCCACAGCATTTCAGAAGCAAATGGGACACCTGCAAGTAACAAACTAGGTCTGAAAAAAATTATTAAAAAAAATAAAAGAACTATAAAAGCCCAGGATCTGTTAGCACAAGAAGCAAACAATATCTGATATTCAGTCTTCAAGAAAAAGTTAAATTATGGTTAGCACAATTTGCATAGTGAAAAGTACACAGCATTAAAAAATATTTCTTCTTGGAGCTAGGGTTGTGGCTCAGCAGTAGAGCACTTGCCTAGCACATGCTGGGTTCGATCCTCGGCACCACATAAAAATAAATAAAAAATAAAGATGATATTGTTCCCAACTAAAAAATAAATATTAAAAAATATATATATTTCTTCTTAAAATTTTTCCCTAGTAATATTTATTAGGGAAATTGAATTCGAGAGACTTCATTTTCTGATATACTAACAAGTAAGTATATAAGTATATTAACATATTTATTAAACTCAATGTTTCATTGAATTTTAGCTATATTTGACTACCAATATCAGGTAGCTTTTAAAATGAAGCTTAAGAGGAAGCACACAATAACACAATATCAGGTCTATCAGTCCACAATGCTTTATTTAGATACATCTGTTCATACCGGCCAAATTTTATAATTTCAGTATAAGAAATAAGGACAAAGGAAAAAAAATGAAAAGAAAACTCAGTGAGATCAAGGCCACCTTTTCTCCTGTGGAATATGGCTGGGACCATTCCTGAGGTGACTGAGCCTGATTTGTGCCAGGCCTCTGGAAAGAAGGCCTTCTTTAATGGGTGCACATTCCCATTTCATAAATTGCCAGAGGCCCAATTTGACTTATGAAAGGAAACTGGTGGGTTTTTAAAGAAATATTTTGTAAATATGCCCCAGCATCAGATTTCTCCTTCCTTGGCGTAAAACACGTTGGTCATTATCTCCCATTTTACACTGAACAAGACCTGTGATTCAGTCCCTCTGTCACCAAATTGCTCCACACATCAAGAGCCTCTCCCCAGCCCCATGTTAAGCCATCAGAGCTGCAAAGGAATGCAAAACAAGGGCAACAGAGATGCCTCTGTTGCCTCAAACTTACTGATGCTTCCAATTCATTTAAAAATGATTCCAGGAAAATACTCCTTAATCCATAAACTGCTTGAAGGCCTAAGGGATTGACAGATGAAACAACCTCTGGAAGATCATTCTGCCTGTTTTCTGGGGGTTCTAGTGAGCACTGTGAAGAAGAGGAGGTGAGGCCAGTATGCTGAGTGTTAATCAGAGTAAAAAACTGAAGTTTCTTCCTAGGGCACAGCTGGTAGAGATCTTAGAAACACTGAAATTAGATTAGGAAGATGCAGAAAGATGCTTCAGCCACTTCTCAGACTTCCCTTGCAGATCACTCTGAAATGGCTACCATTAAACAATTTGCCAGGAGACTCATACTTGTTTTTAATCTTTGAACTAAACCAGTGAGAAGTAAACAGAACTTAGTCTATTCCCTTTGTTAGATATCATCAAAGTTGAAAACTTCTAAGATTTTCCCTCGTTTTATTTACATTTAGGGTCTTACAGTCACTCTGCAATACTGCTTCACTTGAGATGAATACATAAAAATAGTCTAAGAATAAATGTACTAATAAAAGATGAACCAGAATAGTAATAAAACTGAATTAAAGAGTCAAAGGAAGAAATGTAATTATAATTAGCAAAAGCCATCAGGCTGATCATAGAGTTAAGAAATAAATCTAAATATTAACATAAAAATTATACCTTGCAGCAGTTACAACAAAGAATCAGACAAAATAAATGTTGTTAGAATGCACCCAGAACAGTCTCAGAGGAAAAAGACAATATTACTTCCTTTAACTCTCAGAACAGGAAGGCCAAAGGCCCATTTCTAGAGAAATATTTAAAAGATAGCTGTTCTATTATATGGTTTACCTTTTTTGTTTGTTTATTTTTAAAGAAAAGGAGACCTGGGATCTTGAGAAAGCAGCCACCTATATCAGCAGATGAGGAGATAGGACAGGCCTGAAGAGGTTTGAAAAACTCCAATCACAGACTGTTTTCATTTGAGCCTTTATAGCAACAGAGGTGCAGGAGAGATGCAGTTTAAAAAAAAAAAAAAGAAAAAAAGAGATAATTCCCTATCCATCAGATGGCCAAAAGTTTCAGAGTAATACAGGGTGCTAGGAAACTTATATGGGCTGTAATCTTCTTTTTTAAAAAATTTGTTCTCTCTCTATATATACATGACAGTAGAGTGCATTTTGACATAATATATATACATGGAGTATAAGTTATTCTAATTAGGATTCTATTCTTGAGGTTGTACATGATGTGGAATTTCACTGGTGTTGTATTCATATATTTATATTCAAACATAGGAAAGTTATGTCAGATTCATTCTAAGC